TAACAACACAAAAGTATGGTCTAGATGCAGTTAGTTCAAAGCTTCTACACTATAGTGATATTCTTTATTAAATTTGTCTGTTTTGAAGTCACAATATTGACCAACATTCAGTTGCATAGTATTACTGGATAAACCATCTTGCCGTTCTTTATATGTATATACACCTAATAATCAAGATAATCAAACAACATAAATAACTGCGGTCACAACAGAACAACATAAATACAAACGAGAATGACATGACAACTAAAAAATACAAACCAAGAAAGCATTACAAAAACACAAAACAGGAAATCACAACAAAAAACATAAACCAGTGCAACATAACATGCAAGAACACAAAACAGCACAGCACAACAAAATACAGGGTAGAGCGACACAACAACAGAAATATAAACGAGCTCTACAACGCAACAAAATTAACAACAACAAAATCACACGAGTACGACAACACAACAAAATAACATACCGAGGACGAAAAAACAACCTAATACAAAAGAGCACGACTCAATAACAAAGATACAAAAGAGCACGACTCAATAACAAAGATACAAAAGAGCACGACTCAATAACTAAGATACAAAAGAGCACGACTCAATAACAAAGATACAAAAGAGCACGACTCAATAACAAAGATACAAAAGAGCACGACTCAATAACAAAGATACAAAAGAGCACGACTCAATAACAAAGATACAAAAGAGCACGACTCAATAACTAAGATACAAAAGAGCACGACTCAATAACAAAGATACAAAAGAGCACGACTCAATAACAAAGATACAAAAGAGCACGACTCAATAACTAAGATACAAAAGAGCACGACTCAATAACAAAGATACAATCTAGCATGACACAATAACAAAAATCAAATAGAACACGACACAGCAGAAATCATTTTGTAAGTTGATAAGATAGAAATAAAGGTTGGATGCACATTGCTTTCAAACCAATCATCGTCTCAAATGTTTCATCATCCGAAAAGCTACGATTTATAATAAATATACTTGAAAAAATTCTGAAAAAATATGTATCAAACCGATCTGCAAGAGATTTTAGTATAAGCATTCAGATGCGTTGGACACAAATTTGGGATACCAAATGATTATGACGTTTAGGAGCATTAAATACAAAGACCTTAATACAAATGTAATTTTGATGGCCTTCGATCTTCTTGTGATCCCATCACCCTCCATGTATCTATACATATTTCACATCCCAAACGACTTTTGGTTCTAAGCATTTCTGATCAGAAGCCTTTCTAATGTAAACCATGCAGTATATTTGAGTGTGATGCTAACGGTCAATATCAATAATTTCATCGGTGAACAACCTTTCGTTTAATATTTGATATTAAGCAATGCCCATTGAGAATATGAAAATTAGAGAGAGAGAGAGAGAAAAATTCATTGTACTGGCTATAAGTAATGATTAGAGCAAGGTTAAAATCCGGTAAATGCTTACCTATAGTAAAGGTATAATTACGGACATATTAAATGCTTCGACATCTACGTCAAAGTACTACGACCGTTCGTTTGTAAACCCAACTCAGCAAGGGACCAGCTCGGTAATTTAATTCAGTAATATTTACCATAAAACAACGTTAAAATTTTCATTTCTTTAAAACGAACTCAAACAAATGATGTGACAAATTAAAACTTTGCTTCACCCTTTGAAGTTCACCTGTCCAGGTGAGTATTTACACTTATTTGTTGACATTTCTGGTATACGTTAGATGTGCGTCAATGACACAAAAAAGTTCTGATTAAACATGGCAAGATAGGTGGAATAAACTTATCACTGCAATTCTCTTAACTTCAAAGTATCTCTTATGAACCAAAATCACTCTAAGCTCTAATGTCGAATTGTTGACTTTGGAATTTTCGTATGAATGGCATAAAGACGGAATTTTTATATTAAAGGAATATACTCCCTGCAACGATTTAGCATTTTGTTTTGATTAAAACTTGTTTGTCAAAGACCACTTTATTTGCCATTGAACGATACTATGTTTACATGATTTTTACCACATAGGCATTATAGATCCGGCGAAATTGGCGCGAAAACGTTTTGTGTTACATGCATGTTGACTGGGTCGTCTGCAGGTAACGATTTCATTGCATTTTTTAATAACTTTATTCAGTATTGCAAAAGGTAAATCCCTAACGGGTTAAAATGCAAACATTACATGAATTAAAGCTATGTTAATGTACATAAGAAACATACAACACATGAATAAAGTTCTAAACGAGTTAAATTAATAATTCGGTAAAGCAGTCAATAAATCATAGGTGGAAGATAACAAAGCGATGAATTTAAAAAGGAAGAAACAAAGAAAATCAAACCTTGAACAAGAGAAAGCAAAAGCATAAAAAAATTCAGCTTTTGGCAAAGCGATATTTGAGGAACGGCTATCCATTGGCGGATCCAGTGGGTGTTCCGGGGGTTGAACCCCCCATTTTCTTTTCGATTTATAAAAAAAAAATATGAACGTTTAATGGTATTCCGGGGGTTTAAACCCTCCTTTTTAAAATGGCTGGATCCATACCTGCTATGGTAGTCTTAAACACTCTTAGCTTATATGCATTCCTTATAAAATAATTGTCTTTTCTTTTCATGGCCAAAATGATTATATATAACCTTATGACCGTCTTGTTTCCAGTTTTTTTTTTTATTAATTCCTTCCATCCATTATTTCACATTCGCTTTGGATTTCCACTTCTTGATTATAACTTTAATCTTTTAAAACAAATATTTTATTCGACGCCTCTTTTTATTCCTGAATCCCCCCTTTTCCTAAAAAAACACAATCTTTAAGATTATTTTGAGAAATGTCATATTCAAGGTTGCTTATCAATACCAAAACTGATTAGCAGGAAAATAATTCGGTGAATTTATAGAGTAGTTTTTCTTAATTGTTGACGAAAAATGTGTCGTTTGGGTTGCTGTCTCATTGACGTATACCCTAAACCTGTTTCTATTCATATATGAGGGTCTGGGTAGGGTTTACCGAATAGAGAATAATAGGAAAAAAATGTAAAAAATAGAGGAAAATGGCTTAAAAAATTAAAGAACAGAATTGAGGGACCCGATCCAGACCCTCATATATAAAATCATACAAATTCCAGTTATTTAAATTGTCCTTTGGAAATGCAAAATTTTCTATGATTAGGAAACATCTTGTTACGGGAAAACCACTCAAGACACCAAAAACACACGAATACTATCAAAAAAATGTTTTGGCATTTTTACAATGACTCACAAAATATGTAAAGTAAGAACAACTTGAATTTGACCTGTACATAAACCTTATATACAGGGGACTGTTATATTTTCTTTGATGTCAAGTATAGACTCTCAAAGATAGGCCTAGTTTCAAGTGTAAGAGTGCATTAGCAAAAACCCGACTTAATGAATATTGTTTTCATAAGCACCTTACATATCATAATTTGACTATGATAGAGTCATTTCTAGTGACATGAAATAATAAAGATCATTTATTGACAAGGGGATTTTAACACAGAAGACCCGGACTCGTAGGTCAATGCTTTGAAGTTGTAATATACCCTCAAATACCGTCAAGCTAATGTTTATTTTACGTGTTTTGATTGTGTACTCTCATCAAAAAATAAATTCGATGTCACTTTCTGTCAACTCTAGGGGGTAAGTGTGTACTCGTTTTATTGTGTTCTTTTGACCTAAAGATTTGTCCGCCAAAAGATTTTTCGCTCGTTGCTTGGGGGCCAATTCGGTTGTTCTGAAACTTATCGATCGTCCCTTCACTTTCCAATTTTTCCTCTGTTCACAATAATGAAAAAAAAATAAGATTTTTTTTAATCTTTTTTTTTTTTGATCTGGCTTACATCGGGCTACATCTATGAAATAAAGACGATTTCATGAACAAACACATCATCCTCTAGATACAGACGTTCTCAATGTCAAGTTAAACTCATGCAATTACTTAAATTGGATGCAATTTGAACCCCCCTCAACCCCAACCCCGTTCCATTTTATTTATTTATCCATCTTTCATTTAAATATGTTCTGCAAATTCAATTTCAAAATAATAATAGATAGCATTACGCAGCTTTTTTTCTAGTTCCACATTCTATTCATGATAAAAGAGACTAAATAAAAGAGGACATGTAGAGTTTAACCGTTAGCTCTTCATTTTGAAAACCCTCTGTTACAACATTGCTAGTTTTATATAGATGTAGAGTTCTAGAGCAAGAAACATATGAAAGTCAAGTCTGCTTTTTTTTTTAATTTCGAAAGAGTCATAGTATTTCCCTCATGAATCCACTTCTTGATATTTTCTGTGATTTAACTGCAAGTCCAGTCGTCAAAGCATATCATCGATATTTATATCTGTAGAATGAACCAAGTCAAAAATATAACTTCCGTCATCGTAAATTTCGCTATGCAGACTCAGCATCCTCCAAAATGACGTCTTGACCAATGAGAACGCCTAAAACGGTGACGTACCATGACTAAATATATTGGCTTATAAAATTAAAAAAACATCCTGCAACCGAATCTGTTTACTAACATAAGCTGATTAAATAAGTTTTCGTGAATGAATATCTTTATTGTCCATTAAATAAAACATAAAATCATTGACGTAAAATGTTACCTTCTATAGAGGTTACCTTAAATACGATACTACTAGCGAGCATTTTAAGTTAACTGCAGATAAAGCTACAGGTCTCAAACGCTCTACTGTACTTTCTGGTGCAGTTCGGATAATTATTACGCATACTAGTATATGTAGCATTACAAAAAGTCCCAGGGATTCCGAAAAGGAAGCGGCAACAAAAAGTAAGACACGGGTTGCCTGGAACTTGTATGCGAAGCGGGGACATTTCATTTGTACATGTTCCAAGAAGATTGAGATAGCAGACTCCGCGTCCTCGAAAATGACGACTTGACAAATGAGAACGCATAAAACAGTGACGTACCTTGTCTAAATATATTGGCACATGAAAAAAAAACCAACACCCTGCAACCGAATCTGTTTATTAACATAAGCTGATTTGATAATTTTGTTGAATGAATATCTTTTTAGTCCTTTACAAATAAAACATAAAATCATTGACGTAAAATGTTACCTTCTATAGAGGTTACCTTAAATACGATACTACTATAGCGAGCATTTTAAGTTAACTGCAGATAGAGATACAGGTCTCAAAGGCTCTACTATACTTTCTGGCGCAGTTCGGATAAATATTACGACAACTATAGTATGTCCATCATTACGAAATTTCCAAGCATTCCGAAAAGGTTGCGACAACAAAAAGTAAGACACGACGTCATCTAGTTCGGGGAGTTTTCATTTGTACATATTTCAAGAAGATTGGCATTTAATTCTAATGATAAAATTGGAATTTCCCACCTCCATATGTTTACGACCAAAAATGAAGTACTTTAAGTAGTAAATAAGTCGCCGAAATTTCCTAGTTAATTTTTTTCAATTTTTTTTATAAATTCCTCAGCAGCAATGTCTTATTGACACAGGTGTGACTAATTGCATCGTATCAAAATTCAGTCACTTTACCTGCTATTAGCCAAACATTGATTAAATAAAGAGAAAATTCCATTGTCCCAAACTCATTCAATTTAGCTTAGCTACTAGTAACATCCTACGAAAATGTCACGCAAAGAAATCAGCATTATCCAACTGTCTTGTGTTTGACTGATGGGCTCTGAAGTTTGAACAAAACAGCAAGATTCCATCCTTCCTTTTACAAAGGGGTTACTACTGCAATACAAAATTCGACCTACAAAATAAAATGTTACTCAATATTTGAAGACTTAATCAGTGTAAAAGCCTAATTAAGGGGCGTAACTGTTACAAAAGGCAATATTAAAAGATCTTAACACTGATTAGTTGCCGTCCCATCTGAATACAAACACACAATGTTATATTTGAGTTTGTCATTTCCAGGGTACTTTCACCTTTTAGATATGTTCCGTTAACTCTTGCTGCTCAAGACGATGAATGGTATTTTATAAACGTTTTATAATTTACTTTTGAATAATTTCGCGGGTGTTCTGATCTTCGTTAGTATTATTGAGACTGCACGGATAGGGTATACAGAATACAAACAATGGGTGAAAACAAGGAAAAAAACAAAAATAGAAAATAATGGGGTGCTTCGATATAAAGAAAAGAGTATACTACTAGTAATTGACTTGAAAAATAAAAAAATAGAGAAATATGGCCTGAAAATGAAAGAATACACAAATGAAGACCCTCAAGGTTGTTTAGGGAAAAAATAAATGTGCGTGCTATTAAACAATTATTATAAAGATGTTGTTTAATCTTTTCAAGTTACTCCTCGTGACAAGACAGTTATTACCATGCATGCTTTGAAACAAAACTAAGCCCACACAATAAACGAAAAGGTAGCTTGGCGTGATTTTAATACAAAACGTCAACAAAATCTTTAATGAAACCCGGTAAACCTTTCCCTTAAAAAAATCATAATCAAAGTGTCTGATTGCAATCGATAAGGATGTACCCGGTTACAAACTCTGATTATTTGTCAACATATAATGAGTCATAATTTGGAAAGAAGAGCCGTTAATATCCTGTGGGTGACACCCGAGAGGTACCAAACAATACAGATCAGAAACCTTACCGTACTATACATTGTTATTTATTCGCAGTTATCTAACTACAAATTATAGGGTATAATATTTTGTAATTTATGACCGAACGGATTAAATTTATGCATATTTCAACCCAGCTTCAGGGAAAACCAGAAATATTTAAAAATGGAATCCAATTTTTTGTATGGAATTCCTGTAATCTGCCTTAAGGCGACATTTGTCATAGCTATTAATTTACTACGATGCGCGTTTGTCATTTTCATTGAATTTCAAAATTGAATTAGGAAACAAATCCCGAACAGAAATACGTCGACCACATAAGTTGAGAAAGATACATTAAACTGGTGGGGGTGGACGGGGCAGCAAAAGTTGACCATGTTTGACCAAACAAATTTTGACAAGTAAAAAAGGTGTCAGAAAACAGGAGGTAGTAAGGTCGTGTATGGTCATTCACTGTGTTCTTACATTTTTACATGATAAATTGTGATGGCATGTTGAAACAAAAGCAAAGGAAATACGTAATGATGCCTTACAGCCAACATTCCCCTCTATCCCAAATCTCCGCAACCATAAAAGGATTATTAAACCCATTGGAACAAACCAAAACTAACTATGTCCATAACACAATCTGCATGACAGATCAATTAACAGCGTATAGTTTCCGTAGAGACACTGGAAATCGCGCTAAACCTCTAAACCACGCTTAACCTCTAAACCGGAATATTTGTTCTCACTATTGAACGAAAAAAATCAAAGATTAACACCTAGTTGTGACAGATTGCATCGAAGCTGTGAAATGGCTTTGAGTCAATAAAACATCCGATACATATATTGTATAGCTGTTAGCAAAATAAAACGTCTTGTGGTATAATTTTCAGCCGTTTTATCATACTTAGTTTATTGTATCCTGTGCAAGCAACTGACATAGTTGGTAAATGAAGAAATTGTATACATATACATACTAGTACTGATTTTGTACGTGTTGATAATAACAGGAAACAATTTAAGTCATTTAAAAAGTTAATATTTTTGACAGTCAAATAGTAACAGCATACCCACGCAGTGAAACTAATTACTGTCTACTGACTAATTTTCAAATGTAATAGTTACAGACATTAAAATCAAATTATGAAAAAAAGCGTTTGATATGAAAGGTGAAAAGCGGATAAAAGTATTTCATTCAGGTGTCAAACATAAAAGTTCTTACAACCCTGCTGGGTTTAGCATCATTCATAAAATCATTTGAAATACCGTTACAAATTTAAATGTTCAATTTCTCCGTTTAGATAATTGTCGTTTACTTTAATTGCCACTAAAGTTCGCAATAAGTCATGGATTTCTATTGTGTTCAGTCGTTAATCATGTCATGGTTCTGAAAGTGACCGCTACATCACTTTCATTGACATCATTGGTCTGATAAACATTATCCTTGAAAACGCATTGGTCTGAAAGCATTATATCTTCGCATATCCATAAAATAATCAAGAAAATTCTTGTATATGTGAAACCAAAAACAAATTATTTCAACATGGGGTCTGTTTTTATTCTTTCGTATCATATTAAGCAGTGGGTACAACAACCAATAAAATCCTAACAATAAAACTCCACTTTAGAACATCAGTTTGATACAAGACTTCTGAACACTGAAAAAATGACTCAGTGCAGTTATACGTGACGTTGGGGATAAAAGGCAATTTTCCTGTATATCTCGGTGTGTTTATAACTTGTGAGCGCTGTAAGTCAATACATTCTATTGAAAGACTCCGAGAGTTAGTCAACACTTATTAAAGGGCCAACTTTTTAGGGGATTTCCCACTTTAATCTTACATAATTGAAGAGTAATTACTTTTTATCAAAAAGAAGGTTGTCTTTAAATTTATGGTATAGTAGTATTTTTTGTAATGACACATTTCTGTGTGTTTGTGTGTGTGTGTGTGCACTTCATTTCGATGTTAATGGAAGATATCTGGTAGTCATTCATAATTTTACTAAACTCTGGACAAATATTTTAGAGCTTCCATGAATTATTCTTGATTTGTTGGTGTCTGCATAACGTCTAGTTTTTAACTAAAATTGCTTAACGTCCGGTGGCAAATATTTCTTTTATATTAATGTGATCGATTTATTAGTTGTTGCTTGCTTAAAGTCCAGTGGTTAGTATTTCATTGATATTATTGATTGATTGTTGTTTGCTTAACGTCCAGTGGCAAGTATTTCATTATATAATTGATCGATTATTTGCTTGCTTGTTTAACGACCAGTGGCAAGTATCTGAAATTGATATTATTGAAGTTATTTTGTATTTTGATCGACAATTCTATCTAATACGGACGCGACTGTTGCGACGTTTTCCGATTTGTTGAAGCAGTATCGATTGTCAGTTTTACATCAGACAATGACACGTGCTAAGCTTAAGAAAATCACCATTGACAGAACTTTCATAATACTCATTATCATACGGTAAACACTTCCCTGGAACTATTAATATACTAGTATTCTACATTAACCGACCCCCAACGTTTCGCCTAAACATCAAAGCACTCGAGATTTCTTACTGGCTAACCTTGAAATATAAAAATTATGACGTTATACACCTTACAAAAGGAAAGAATTTCCCAATGTTGTAATACGTGCAATGTTAGTAATAAACATGTTTACGTATCGCTTTTAATATTCTTTTGTGACGTAAAATGAACCGAATGCGGTTGTCGTTTAAATGGATAAGTGTCAAAAGGTAAATACTCATAATTTTACATCGAACTTAGCTAGTAAAAGATTATATGACCCTTGACCAATTAGAGAAAATTTAAGTGTTTACTTGGTTTTTTATTACCATTATTTTTATGGGTATTGTTCGGTATAGTTTATTAGACTGATAGTAATGCACAGAGGAACAAGAACAATGGGTTCTCAGACCTACCACGACAATCTATAGACTATAGTTTTTACCAGTCAGGCTTTTTCCCTCCTAACTTTGATCAATATGCGGCTCAATACAATACTTTTTTATTCTAATAAATATACTTCTCATACAGGACATCAATAAGTACCACAAAGATAACGTAGTACTTCATAAACAATAGAATTTCGATCATTTTCTCGAGTGTTTACTGTTTTAAAACGCCAATGTCAAGGAAGATATTCAGGGCCATTTGTAAAATGGAACAGTATAAAATGGACGTAAATATACTCATTAGTGACTGACACATGTTGTACAATAGGATAATTCGTCTAGTTTTCTTCACGTGTACATGAAATCTTTCCTTTAATCATCTATTTCGTTCAAGCTTATTCGTCAAAAAAAGTCAGTATACAAGAAAACAGAACTTTCATCAACCACAGGGGATTTGTCTTTGGGCATACTACAGTTAATTTAAAAAAAATCAAACTGTCCCACAGACAAGACCGTGTCTTTTACGACTTCCATTGCTCTATGTAAACTGTAATCTGCAGTTTCTTATAGATGACACCTAGGTTTTTATTTGGGTTAGTGGTATTCAATCTTTAGTTTTACTATATTTCGTGTATTTGACTGTTGGTTGCTTTTTCGTCGGTTTTCTTTTTGCCATGGTGTCACAGTATCGGTTTCTCTACGATTTATAATATTTGATTGTCCTTTTGGTATCTCTCGATTCTTTTCCATTGTCGGATGCTTGTTCGAGTCACGGGTACAAAAGAATATAAAAAGATAGACTTTTCTTTATTTTTCAATGAACACCGACTCAAGTAGTGCAGTCGTTATATTCCACCCATGGTCACTCCCGGTTAACTCGAAGGAGCCTGTATCCAATATATATATATGCAACCATAGGTTTGAACGTTGTTTTCAATTTAGACTTGTTTATATATATATATATTATATAAACAAGTCTAAATTGAAAACAACGTTCAAACCTATGATTGCGTTGGATAAAAACCGCAATTTTTATACGTGTGCATGTCAAACAAATTTCTTGTTAAAGGGGTCTAAATACAGCACAAACAACATTTTCCAAAAGACCAAAAAAGTGAAAAAGTATATTTTAACAAAACGCATTTGACTAACAGGTCGAACAACGGATGTTCTTAAACCCTGCTGACTGCCAATTATATATATATACAACTCGTCTAAACATCAACCCAACAATGTTAGATCTTTAAATTTGCTTTCGCAAATTTTTTGTTC